GGAGGGCGGGCCCCGCCGGACCGTCCTGCCCCTGGAGTCAGTGTCATGAGTGCATGTGAGGTGGGGACCCTGCCCCAGCGCCCTCTCCTCCTGGGGCCCACTCACACTACGCCCTCTTCCCGTGTCCCCCACCCTCCCTGCAGCAAAACTGGACACGGGGGACAGGGAGGGGCGCTGGCCAGAGGAGGACTCCTTCCCATGGCATTAGGGGAGGGGCAGCTGGGGTCCCCGCCCTCCTCCACCCCCTGACCCCAGATCAGTGTTTGAGCCTTCTCGTTCCCCTTTTGCACCCCTCGGTGAGTCCTTGGTGATGATTCTGACAACTTCGGGAATAAATGGCAGTTCTCACGGACTGGGCTCCCCAGGTTCCCACCTGTGGCTCCGGATCCTTGAGTTCAGGAGGCCCCACTGGGGAGCAGAGGTCTTGCGCGTGGCTTCTGTGGGCGCTGGTGCCTGCAGGCGTTGCTAGCCCACCGTGGGCGGAACTGGGCCCCAGAGCCCGAGTGCTGGCTATTCTCTGCTGAGCACATCTGCGCTAGTGAGGCCTCAGGCCACCTGGGAAGCTTATCCCAGCCCTGCAGCCCAAGGGCCTCTGGGGAACCCGCCTGCCCCCGCTCTCGTGTGGCGAGGTCCTGGCTGCTGGTCCCTCCCTTCTCAGGGTTAGGGTGAGGCAGAGCAGGGACCAGGCACTGGGGTCGGCCAGCGTCCGCACGGGCCTTTTTGCCCTCTGCCCTGTGTGCCCCTGGGTCACAGGCACACACTACGGGGGCCTGGGGCCACCCCGAGTACGTGAGGGGCTTGACCTGCAGCCTGCCGAAGGCCTGCGACACCTTCCCCTTTGTCACCTTTGCGTGTCCTCCCTGCCTCTCTTGTGGCAGGGCAGACCTGTGTCACCTGTGGAGACTGGGCAGGAAGGGGTGTGGCCCTGCGCTGTGGCTGCTCCGTGGGCTGTGTCCAGGTCAGGGGGTGCCCAGGGCCCTGCTCAGAAACCAGCCTGGCTCCCCGCAGACCACGGGTACATGGAGAATCGGGGAGCTGCCACACAGGGAAGGGCGAGGGCCAGGTGCTGGGGCCCCGGGTCAGCTGTCCGCAGACGTCGAAGGAGGCGGCCCAGACTGGCACCCTCTGGGCAGGGCAGCTGGCCAGGCCCGCCCTCCCGGTCTTGGGCTCCCCCGGCACAGTTGGCACTCCTCCAGTCCCAGCCCGAGTTAGGGGCTTCCAGGACCCCACTGAGTGCTCACGTGGTTTCTAGAGGAAGACAGCGTGGTCATGGTCCCGTCCTGGTCAGGCAAGGGCAGGGCTCATTGTCTCCTCTGCCGTCCGTTGTCAGAACATGTGTGTGCGCATGTGTGTGTGAGAGAGAGCGAGGGGGAGTGAGCAGATAACAGGCTGTGGTGCGTAAGGTGCAGGCCACAGTGTGCGAATATGTGTGTGTGAGAACACAGGCTGGCCGCAGTGCGTGTGCAGCCATGGTGTGCATATGTGTGCGTAAGGTGCAGGCCACGGTGTGCAAATATGTGTGCATGTGAGAACACAGGCTGGCCTCAGTGCTTGTGTGCAGGTGCCAGCCACGGTGTGCATGTGTGTGTGTGTAGGTGTAGGCCACAGCGTGCATATATGTGTGTGTGTATAGGTGCAGGCCACGGTGTGCATATGTGTGTGTGTGTAGGTGCAGGCCACAGCGTGTGCATATGTGTGTGTGTGTGTAGGTGCAGGCCACGGTGTGCATATGTGTGTGTGTGTGTAGGTGCAGGCCACGGTGTGCATATGTGTGTGTGTGTGTAGGTGCAGGCCACGGTGTGCATATATGTGTGTGTATAGGTAGGTACAGGCCACGGTGTGCATGTATGTGGGTAGGAACACAGGCTAGCTGCTGTGTGTGCGCACGCACGTGTGGGAGAACACGCGGGTCTCTGTGAGTGTAAACGTGCCCCTCCCCTCCGACAGCTTTGTCCCGCGGCGCTCAGTCCTCTGTGGGTCACAAAGCGGTAGGTCTGGCGTCTCCCCATGAATCTGCTTTCAAGAACGACCGGCCCAGAGCCCGGCAAGCCCGACCCAAGTGTGCTGTGGCCTGTCTACACTCGCAGGTCTACACTGCGGCAGGCGCCC